CCCGAGCCCTCCAGAGATCATCAACCAATGCGACCAATGCCGTTTCCGTGCTGTACCCGGGCCTGAAGCCGGACTGGAACGGATCCAGATAGACGGTTTCATCCAGGTACTGCGGAAGCTGTCGCGCCACCACACTCTCAACAACCTTCACCAGAAAGCGAAGGTTGGAAACTGGACGATAGTTTGCCAAAACAGCTGGGTCCAGAGAGAGCTTCTTGAGGAGGGGCCTCACCACCGCCTCTTTCAAGGTGGGAGGCAAGAAACCCTCACTCAAGGAAGCGTTTATAATTCTCTGGAGCCAGCTTCGTGTAACCTCCCGGGTAGCCAGCACCAACCAGGAGGGACACGGGTCCAATAAACATGTGGTTGCGTTCAACCTCCCCAGCATCCTGTCCACATCCTCGGGAGTCACAGGGTCAAACTCATCCCAGATAACATTCTCAAGACACAGCTCGGACAACCCGCCTGTACCCACCCAGTCAGAGTCCAAGCCTTCCCGAATTTGAGCAACTTTATCGTGCAGATAATGCACAAAATCCTCAGCACGACCTTGCAAGGGGTCTTCCCACGCTCCCAGATGGAGAAGGGAGCGGGTCACCCTAAACAAGGCAGCTGGGCGAATATCTGCCAACATGATAAGAGCGGAAAAGTAGTTACCCTTCGCCGCTTTTATCGCCACTAAGTAGGTCTTGATATAAGACCTCACTAGTGTACGGTCAGACTCGGAACGACTAGCCCTCCAACTACTCTCTAGGCGTCATTTAATCATATAAATATGATTAAAACAATTTATTATAAGCAATCAGCAAAAGTGATGGTAAATGGAGATTTAGAGAAGGTTAATATTATGAAAGGCACAAGACAGGGTTGTCCTCTATCGCCATTATTATTTGTGTTGACATTAGAGGTATTAAATAGAAATATAAGACAAAATGAAGAGATAAAAGGTATTAGAATTTAAAAAAGAAGAATATAAACTACAGGCATTTGCAGATGATTTAGTCTTTATTTTAGAGGAGCCGCAAGCTGTTGGGCCAAAATTAACAGAACAAATAGAAGACTGTGGAGAAGTGGGTTGAAAATCAATTGTTTTTATTGTATTTTATTTCAAACAATACAAATAAAAATAGGAAAAAATATTTTGAAAATCTTAATAAAATAATAATGAAATTTATATGACAAGGAAAAAAAGCAAGAATTAATATAAAAATGTTACAAGATGCAAGACTCAGAGGAAGGTTTGGACTACCAAATTGGGAATTATACTATCAGGCAGCAACATTATCATGGATGAAAGAATGGATTGAATTAAGAAACACAAAGTTATTGACATTGGAGGGTCATGATCTGCAACTGGGTTGGCGTGCTTTTTTTATGGTATGGGAAGAATAAGATTTTCAAAGACATTTTGTAAAAAATGCTTTATTATCAGTATGGGAGAAAGTTAGAGAAAAACATCATTTAAAAATACCAATATGGCTTTCAACAATGGAAGCATTAATGCATCCAAATATTATTAACATGGGAAATATTATTAGATATAAATATATTTTATCAGAAAAGGGGGAATTGAAAACAAAACAAGAATTAGAAGAACAAGGGATTCATATGGATTGGTAGTCACAATTGCAAATACAATTGAGATATGAAAAAGATGCAAAGTTATATGGTTTTTACTTGGAAATGACAGAATTGGATGAGATATTCACAGGAACAGATGACATTTAAAAACTGTATAGTTACTTTCTATTTAATTAGAAGAAGAACAAGTAAAAGAAACAATGATAGCATGGGCAAAAAACTGGATACACAATAGAGAGATAAATAGTAGCAACTATGAAAAGAAACTATAAGTTAACAATGGCAACAGCATACAAAGAGAATTTGTATAAAATGTTTTGTAGATGGCATATGTCACCGGAAAGATTGGCAAAAATGTTTAAAGATAGATCAACTAAGTGTTGGAAATGTCACCAGACACTGGTATCGTATTACCATATGTGGTGGACATGTGCAAAAGCAAATAATTATTGGGCAAAAATTCAGATTTGGTTAGAGAAAATATATTGCAACATATTGACTTAAAACCGGAGCTGTTTCTGTTGGGTATTTTACCTGAGAAAATTAGTAAAGAAAATGTATATTTGATTATTCATGTAATAACTGCAGCAAGAATTGTATTTGCATAAATTTGGAAAGCGGAAAAAATCCCTACAGAGGGAGAGGTAATTAAGAAAATATTAGCATGTGCAGAAATGAATAGATTAACATTAGCATTAACATTAGCAATTAAAGGGAAGGAAGAATTGGAATATTACAACATACAGCAATTTTATTATTGGATAGAAAATGAATATGGACAAAAAGCATGTAAAATTAAATAAATCCGGAAGAAAAATGTCTTAATAGGAGATATATTAAATTGAAATGTAAAAGCAAAGAAATATATATATATTATGATGACACAAAAATTTGTACCCAGATGACACACTGAATGATAAATGATGTAATGTTTGTTTTAAAAAATAAAAACTTTTTATAAAAAAAAAAGTTGCAAGGGTACGGAAAATGGTTGTCCTAAATGTGCTTTTACAAAAGGCAACTGGACTTCCTTGGTTTTTTCCTTGAAAGCATTTCACTTCTCATCCAAGAAGCTTCTTCAGTTCTTCTTCAGAATTAAGAAGCTTCTTGGATGAGAAGTGAAATGGGAAGTCTTTGCTCAAGTCACTTCAAAGTCTGGAGCTTTCCCCATTACGCCCTTCTGGTTTTGCTGTTCTCTCTAGTCCTTTCAATCCCATTTTTAAAGCAGATGCATAGCCTGGATTTTAGTGGATCTCAAAGGAAAGAGAATACGAATCAAAAAGAGCAAAATAGTTACAACAACAGACTCCGAAATTAAAAAATATGTTTCCCCAGGAAGGGCAAGGGAGAGAATGCATGTTGCCTATTAAAAATTAATTATGGCTCTTTATTGAAAAATAGAAACGTCAAATTAAAAAAAGATGTGCAGTCCCAGCTGTGTGTCCTGGAAATGTGGGTTCTCACAACATTTTTGACCTTAGGCTACCCTTCCTTTTGAGCCATTGGAATGAAAAGATGCCTCTGATATTCCAAAACAAAGCAGATGCTGCTGCATTGCTCTTTAAAAATAGATTTGCTCAAATAATTAGCTTTCAACTTGTGGGATAGTCGGAACTTTTTTTAAAATACATTTTAGGCATTTTTTACCTTTTAAAAGCATTTTTTTTACACCTATTTAAAAAATGCTTTTAAAAGTAAAAAAAAAGCCTCTGACGATCACACGCCACAGCTGGGCGTAGGGGGTCGGGGGGGGGCAGGGATTTTTGCTACTGGTTCTCCGAACCACCCGACGCCATCACTACCGGATCGGGCGATAGTAACAAATTTTACATTTCACCACTGCACACACTCCCTGTGCGCTGTTCTACTTACCCCATGCCTCTTTTGGCGTGCATTTGGTGCGTGGTGGGCACTGCGCATGTGCGCACGCAGCCCGCATTTGGCACGCAGCATGTACGCGCAGCCAGCGAACCGGTAATAAACCAGTTCAGATTTTACCACTGCATCCTCTGGAATTGACCCAATCAGCTAAGCCCATCTCCTAAATTGTGATTAATTGCCCTTATTCACCAAACAAAATAAAAAAAATACTTCTTATAGTCAAGGACATTTGTATGAAATTTGGGGAGTTGAAGTCCACATATCTTAATATGGCCAAATTTGAAAAACACTGAGATGGCAGATGCTTGGCTAGATCCATGGAGACCATCTGACAATCCCCTGCTCTCCATGGGTCCAGTTGAAGATGCTTATTATTATTAAATTATTACTACTAAATTGCTAAAGTTGAATTAAGATTCAGCCACCAGTTTACCCAGTCGGTTGAGTACAAGGAATTGGGAATACTGTCTCGTTCTTTGATTCAGCCAGCCACATAGTCATAAAAAGAAATGCATAATTTTCAGAACAGTATAATGCCAAACCAGATTATTATTTGGGTGGAAGCCTGACAGATCTGGTACTGTAGCCAACAAATATGTCAGCTTCATTTTCTTTGATTTTATGAAAATGACCTCTTCTTTTCTTCAGGAAAGAGTGTAGAGAAAAGCAACAAAGATCATTAGGAGGCTGGGGGCTAAAACATATGAAGAACAGTTGCAAGAATTGGATATGTCTAGTCTAGTGAAAAGGACTAGGGGTGACATGATAGTAATCTTCCAATATTTGAGGCTGCCACAAAGAAGAAGGGGGTCAACTTATTTTTCAAAGCACCAGATGGCAAGACAAGAAACAATGGATGGAAACTTATCAAGGAGAGAAGCAACCTAGAACTAAGGAGAAACTTCCTAACAGTAAGAACAACTAACCAGTGGAATAGCTTGCCTTCGGAAGTTGTGCTCCATCACTGGAAGCTTTCAAGAAGAGACTGGACAACCATTCGTCTGAAGTGGTCTAGGATTTCCTGCCTGAGCAAGGGGTTGGACTAGGAGACATCCGAGGTCCGTTCTGACTCTTGTTCTGGTGATGCAGATTTCTTCAGGCAGGCATATTGTGGCTTCATCGTCCATATACCCAGCTTTCAAACAATTTGGATGCATTTCCCCAAATACATGCTTTTTCTACAGATTTCTTTTCCTTTTTAACAAATGGTTATTTCCAAACTACATTAGAAATACTGTAGAGAGAACTGAAGATTTCCAGTGCCAATGTCCCTAGGTGGGGGTGGGTGGGTGGAGGGCAGCATTAAGTGCAAGCATGTTCATGATGTATTCCAAAACATGCTGCAGCATATAAAAACTCTCAAAGCAGACATATCAACCTGGCAAAATGCCACTTTCAGAACTTTGCACCAGAACAAAGACCAGTTCTGGTCTCATTTGCCCAGTTGCACTCATTTCTCACCTGAACCTAATTCTCTTGCAAGAATTCACTGTGAAGAACAGGGTCCATTCTAAATAAGACTATATTTTTTCTCCTAGAACCGCACCACTTTTTTACATCACAGATCTTCTATTTCCCTTTCCTTGATGGTCGGCATGAAGAAAATGTGGAATCTGGAACACATCCACTTGATTTGTGCCTGTTTGCTTTGCCTCATTTTCACGGAGGAAAGTAAAACAGAACCAGGAAAATGTAAGTATGCTTTTGGCGGTACGTCGTAAGCTGTAATTAACTCTTGGCTGCAGGAAAGCATCCAGAAATAAGCCTTTGGGGCCTACATGCATGCATGTGATTTGTGAGCTAATTGGAGAACAGTGATAATCCACAGGAGCAGTTCTTCTGATGATCATTAATTAAATGAATTTTACTTAAGCGACATGGCTCATGATTGTGGAAGTGCTGCTTTCTTCAAACTAACATTAAAGGATTATTTGCACGCTTTTGCATACCTTACCCCCCCGCCCCCCGCAAAAGCCTAACAAAGAATAATAGCAACAGATTTGGTTCTGGATATCCAATGCTGTCCCCAACCCAAAAGTAGCCGAGACTTGTCACCACCAACATGTTTGGTCTCCATCCAACCACAGCAATGTGAGATGGAATATTTTCTCCAAACAAATGTTCTCAAATGAAATGGAAAAATGTTCTGAATTTCATTTTTTTTTCTCCCGTTGCAAAATATTCCACTGTTAGGTCTTTTTTTTTCCATGGAAAATCTTCTCTTTTGCAAATTCCCCCCCCCAAAACTCTGTATTAATTAAAATAATTAATAACATAACGAATGGAGACCGTTTAGGTCAAAGTGAGCTGCTGGAATAAATGCAAAATCAGTCTTGTTTACAATCTGTCAAGGTGATTTTTTTTAAACGATTGCTTTCCAGATGTCAACTCAAGTTGGGTTCACTCAACAGGCTTAAATCAATTACAAACCTGGGCTTGGCATTCAGATAATATAGCTAATTTTTGGTTTACTGTAGTACAAACCCAGGTGATTTCATTAGCTAATATTTTAATGATGGCTGAATGTCAAGTACCAATAAAGAGTGTGTGAAATACAGATAGTTCTCAACTTACAACAGTTCGTTTAGTGACCATTTGAAGTTACAATGGCACTGAAAAAATGGACTTATGACTATTTTTCACTCTTGCGACTGTTGTCTATGGTCACATGATTTACATTTGGACCCTTGACAACTGGCTCATATTTATGACGGTTGTAGTGTCCCGGGGTCATGTGATCCCCTTTTGTGACCTTCTGACAAGCAAAATCAATGGGGAAACCAGATCCACTTAACAACCGTGTTACTAATTTAACAACTGCAGTGATTCACTTAACAAATGTGGTAAGAAAAGTCATAAAATGGAGAAAAACTCACTTAACAAATTTAACAACATACATTTTGGGCTCAGTTGTGGTCTTAAGTTTAGGACCATCTGTACTGAAAAGACTGCCACACTTGAAAGATTTTCAGATATATCATGCAATCCTATAATAGGAAGGGCAAGTTGATATCTTCCAGAGATTTTGGAGTCTATTCCCACATGGATCCAGGCAATAGAGATCCAGATTTTCTTTCTACTTTTATTTCACATCCAAAGTTCTCTCTCTTTTGATCGAAGAGGATTCATGTTGAACCCAGAGAAAAAATTACATAGAAAGTTGAATGAAAAGATGGAGGAAGGAGACCATTGGGCAAGGAATAATATTAAAAGAGGATATGGCTGAAGGATCTGACCTCCCTTATACTACCTGGAGGACCCTGAATAGGTTGAGGGTTGGAGTGCTTTTTTGAAAGTTGGAGTGCCTAAGTGTAAAACCAATATGCTCAAGTGGAGGCTGTTAACAGAATAACAGAGTTGGAAGGGACCTTGGAGGTCTTCTAGTCCAACCCCCTGCTCAGGCAAGAAGCCCTATACCATTTCAGACAAACTATATGAATGTGGAGAGATCCAGAGCCTAGCGCATATGCTGATGTGTCAGCTACTACCAGAAACATGTACCAGTAATGATTTATGTTTGACAAAGCCAAGAAGGTTTAAAGGTCTGGCAGTTTAAAGCTTGATCTAGATGGAAGAGGAGGGAGGAGGAAGGAAGAAGGAAGAAAGAAAGAAGAAAGAAGAAGAATATGGACTGCTCTGCATAGTCAGTTAAGAACTACACGTATCCAGGTTTCATTCCATGTTTTAAATCCTTGGCAAAATGTCAGATTGTCTGCTTTGGTTAGTCCTGTGACCACCAAACTAAAGCTGGCTGAATTAAAGAGTAAATATAAAATGAAAAGTTTAGAGTTGAGTGAAAAGTCATGACATCATCGAAGACAGAAATGCAGAGAAAATAGTTTGCAAATCTACTACTGTAGTTCTTGAAAGATAATTTTCATCGGTGGAATAAGAATTGGAAGACCAAAAAACGCAGAGAGATTTTTCAGCAGGGCAGCAATATTTATCATGGGAGTAGCTTTCACTTCCCATTTTTCACAAATCCTGTGTTTCACCCTATGTTTTGTAACCAAATTCAAGAACAGAATTAAAATTATTTTCGATCTTTATCCCAACAACTCTAACAAGCCAAAGGGGAAAAGATGGACATAGTCCAAATAAGCTTATTTATTCGGCTGAGGTGTGCAGATAGCTGTGCTCCAAGCAGGGCCAATGGACTCTGAGTGGCATTTCCAGTTCATTGCTTTCCTGGTATGAACATTTTGTTCAGTCTGCACTCACCCAAAATGAAAGCTGATTTTTTTTTTTTACATGAGCCGCCAAACTTCCTTTGGATCTTTCTTTCTTCTTGAAGCAGGATGGAAAGTTGATTGAGGTGACCACATTTGAAGGGCCCATCTCAGCAACGTTCTTGTTATGAATTTCCTCAGTTGAGAAGTCCATGATGGGTGCATAGGTTGACAGTTAAATGTTTAATTTGCAATGGTTCTTCTGGTGTTATATAAATTCTCATTTACTCATTGTAAAACCAGCTTGTTTTCACAGAAACAAGTTCCAGGGCAAACAAAGGGTTGCATTCATACTTAACCAGGTCAGTTAAAGGCCTAATGTCTGCTTCAGCATAACATGTGAACTAGGCTAGTATTAACACTGCTTAAGTTTTTTTTTAAAAGTAGAACTCAGCTTCTTGGTTATTTTACCCGTCCATTTATTGTGCAAACCCAAAAAAGGAGTTAAATCATGCTCCAGTTTGAATGAGTTGGGTGCTTTCAAATAGCCTGAAAAATACAGATTTGTTTTGGAAACTGAAAGCTGGTTTAAGAATCATCTAGAGGACCCATCAGATTCAGAAAGCTGATCACTTTCAGTCAAACTGAGATTAAAGCTCTGAGAGCAAGCCAAGATGCGAAGCAAGGAGCTATGTTTCCAACTGTCATGAGTGACCTCAATACCAACAGGATTTAGGGGCGTTCGGCTTAACACTTGTCAAAAGAGAATTAACTCTATAAAATTCAGTGAATCGGGATTCACTAAATTTTTAACATACAAGTTGCTAGAAGAGGAGCTTATGTCGGGCAGGATTTTGCAAATCTCATAATCAAGCTAACAAATCAATCAGTGGTGCCCATTCAGAGAAATCTGGTAAGGAGATACAGAGTTGAATGTCTCATGAAACAGGCAAACATACATCCCAGCATGATTAAACATATAATAATAACAGTCCCATCTATGTTAACTACAATAATGATGTACATCTTTTCTACAGAAATTAAATACAGGTAGTCCTCAACTTATGGCCACAATTGAGCCGAAACTTTATGTTGCTAAATGAAACAGTTGTTAAGTGAGTTTTGTCCCATTATACGACCTTTCTTGTCACAGTTCTTAAGTGAATCACTATAGTTGTTAAACTAGTAACACAGTTGTTAAGTGAATCTGGCTTCCCCATTGACTTTGCTTGTCAGAGAGTCACAAAAGGTGATCGCATGACCTTGGGACATATGAACCAGTTGCCAAATGTTTGAATTTTGATCATGTTCACAGGACCATGGGGATGCTGCGACAGTTATAAGTGTGAAAAACATTCATAAGTCACTTTTTTCAACGCCATTGTAACTTTGAACAGTCACTAAACAAACTGTTGTAAGTCGAGGACTACCTGTACTCTCATTGCTCTTGGTCACCAGTTCACAGTTTCTCTCTCTCTCTTTTCTTTTTTGCAGATTCAGAAACCTACTGCATGTTTCAGGATAAGAAGTATCAAGTAGGAGAAAGATGGAATCCTTACCTTGAACCCTATGGAATTGTTCCCTGCCTTGAGTGTCTCTGCACAGAGGTAATGTGATTGGATGTAGTGAAGAGGTGGATTTCCAGGAGGGAGGGGTGTCCATTCCAGAGGAGGAAGAGGCAACTCAACCCAGAGATCATGTGTATGTGAGCGAGAGAGAGAGGACAGCCTTTCCCTATTAGTTCCCAGAGTATATTGTAGAGGTAGCAAGTAGAGTCCTCAGTCTGGGAAGATTTGGCCTATAGGTATGAAACAGTAAAGATCTCCACTTGGAAGGATGGTTCCTGATTTTGAGCCTAACACAGGCTGACTGTGGAATTCTGGGAACTGATGTCCATACATGATATCTGAAGGATTCTGGGAGCTGAAGTTCACACATGGTGGCTGAGAGTTTCTGGGACCTGAAGTCCACAAATATTATGATGGAATGTAGTGAGGAGATGGATTTCCAAGAGGGAGGAAGTCCATTCCAGAGGAATAAGAGGCAACTCAGCCCAGAGATCCTATGTGTGAGAAAGAGGATGAAGACAGACCTTCCATAATAGATCACAGAGTATATTGTAGATGCAGAAAGAAGAATCTTCAGTGTGGCACGATTTTGTCTATAGGTGTGAAACAATAGAAAACGCAATTTATGTCTTTCTTGGTCTTGGGCCTGACAGGTAAATTTATTACTCACCTGGTGCCAGGGGTGAAATGCTCCCGGTTCAGACCGGATCGGCAGATCCGGTGGTGATGGCGGCGGGTGGTTCGGAGAACCAATAGCAAAAATCCCTGCGCGCCCCCCAATGCCCAGCTGTGCCACAATATCATCAGAGGCTTTTTTTTTTTTAATTTTAAAAGCATTTTTTCTACAACCTCTTCTGACAAAAAAAAACTTTTAAAAGTTTTTTTAAAAAAGCCTCTGATGATGGCGCGGCTCAGCTGGGATCATCAGAGGCTTTTCAAAGCATTTTTTTCTGCAACCTCTTGGCCAAAGAGTTGGTTAAAAAAATGTTTTGAAAAGTCTCTGACGATCCCAGCTGAGTTGCCTGATCACAAGAGAGGCTTTTCACAGCATTAGAAAAAATGCTATGGAAAGTTTAAAAAAAAAAAAAAAAAAGTTGGCCATGCCCACCCAGTCACATTACCCCCACCACCACCAAGCCACGCCCACAGAACCGGTAGTAACAAATTTTACATTTCACCCCTGCCTGATGCCCATACATCAAAGCCACCACCCCATCTCTCCTTTTCCCGTCCTATAAAAACTTGCACTCAACAAAGTCTCTTGAACTTGCCCATTCTAATGCCATTTCAGCATTTTTGTACTGTACAAAATCTCCTGGAAGGTCCCCCTTCCTGCTGAAGACTGTAAGGTTAGATGGCTGAAATCTGACATTGTTTCGGGCATGGTAGGTTGCTTCACCCCACAAGCTAGTTGGATGAGTGCAGTTCAAATCAAGAGGTTTTTCATGAAGGGACAGCTAAGGTTTTGTTCCAATCTGTATGAGTTTCACCTCCATTCATTCATTGCACCATTCCTTTCCATTGCAGAGTCCTCGACTTACAACCATTCGTTTAGTGACCTTTCAATGTTAACAACAGCACTGAAAAAAATGATTTATGACTGTTTTTCACACAACCATTGCAGCATCCTCATGACACATGATCAAAATTTGGATGCTTGGCAACTTGTTCATATTTATGATGGTTACAGCATCCTGGAGTCATGTGATCACCTTTTGCAAATTCTGACATGTCAATGGGGAATCCACTTTTACTTAACATTCATGTTACTACAACTGCAGTGATTCACTTCACAAGGTCATAAGTCGAGGACCATCTGTATTTAACTGCAGTGATCAGAGAGATAGCAATTTTAACATTAATGATCCAGCCTATCAAAGCCAATCAAAGTCAATGTCCACTGAGCAAGGGTCTTCAGAAGTAGAAACTTTGGCACTGGAGGTGCAATTCTTTGCTCTGAAGCCTCGTCGATGCACAACTAAACAGCCACTTTGCATTCTAAATGTATTTATGGAAGGTCTGTTTCTCTACTTTGATTTATTCAGAGGGTGAACGTGATGTGTATGAAAGTCAAGTGTGCAACCTTGCGGTGTTCCACCCCAATATATGAACCCTCAAAATGCTGTCCAAAGTGTCCAGGTAATTTGCATCTCTAGTGCAACAAAGCAGTTTAGAATATTTGCTGCTGAAAATGCCAGAAGGGAACCAACTGACCATTGCCCTGTCCAATAATAACAAAAGGAAGCTGTCACGCAGCAAAACTCTATTATTACCCAGTCCATTTGTGATGAGCAGAGAATATGGTCTCTTTTTTTCCCCCATAGAATTTCTATGGGTTCTACATTTTCATCACAGAGCATTCGGTGGGTGGTGTCCCCTTCATTTAAGACAAAACATTTTTGCCTTCTCTTCCTTTTTGGTATGTGATAATCCTGTTTTCTGTGGTTCTTAATATCTGGCCAGCTGTTGCAGTACAGATAGTTCTCGACTTACGACCAGCATTGAGGCCAAAATTTCTATTACTAAGCAAGACAGTTGTTAAATGAGTTGTGTCCCACTTTAGGACTTTTCGTGCCACAGTTGTTAAGTCAATCACTGTGGTTGTTAAATTAATAACATGGTTGTTAAGTGAATCTGGATTCCCTATTGATTTCACTCAACAGAAGATTGCAAGAGGGGATCATGTGACCATCATAAATATCAGTCAGTTGCCAAGCGCCTGAATTTTGATTACGTGACCATGGAGATGCTATAACGGTTGCATGTGTGAAAAACAGCTATAAGTCACTTTTTCAAGTGCTATTATAACTTTGAATGGTCATTAAATGAACTGTTGTAAGTCAAGAACTACCTGTATACTGAAAGCCCATCTTCTCCCCAGATAAACAAACAATGGTTGTTTCTCTGCAAGAGGTAGCCAACAGCATTGTCAACCACATTTGTTGCAACCCAACATTGTTTTGTAACAAGGCAAGGTCAGCCAGAAAAATAAGAGAGCCAGTAAGCATTTATGACTGTACAAATGGGTGTGTACAGGTATATTTATTATATTTCAAGAGATCATGTTATAACAGAGATTAAGCAAGATATTTTGGAAGGGGTGAGAAAAATCTTCCTAAATTTTTTTGCTGCAGTCGTGGCTGAAAAAAAACGGGGGAAGAGACGGGTAACCCCTACGGCAGAGGATCACTAGTATTGTTAGTACAGAGTGTATCTAAGGCAGTAGATGGTGTACTGTCACATGATCTATCTATATTTGTAAAATTATACTCCCCTTCTATGTGTATTTTAATTTGGTCTTTGACCGCAATAAAAACTTACTTTACTTACTACTTCCTACATGCTTAACATCTGGTGGCTTGAAGCTCTTGCTACCTTCTCATCATCTTGCTTATTCCCACTTACAAATGAATCACAGTTGTACAACATTACAGTGGAATAATTGGATCAACATTGCCCAGAGAGCAGCTATTATGTAATGCAACAGAACAGCAGGCAAGGAAGATTTGGCAGAGGCAGTTGAATGTGGATTTGGAAACTAGCAACCTATAGTCTAAATGTGAAGAGGATTCAGAATTCATTGATGTAGAAAGGTTGTCTGACAACTTCTGAATGCAAGCTGTTCCATTGCTTGATTGATGACTGATAATTATTAACTGATAATTCAATGGTTGATTAGTCCAGTTGAATCATTGCAACTGGACTAATCAACCAATTGAATTATCAGTTAATAATTATCAGTCATCAATCAAGCAATGGAACAGCTTGCATTCAGAAGTTGTGGGTGCTCAATCACTGCAGGCTTTCAAAGAGAGACTGGAAAACTATTGGTCTGAAATGGTATAGGGTTGGAGTAGAAGACCTCCAATGTCCATTCCAACTCTATTATTCTATGTTCTATATATTCTAATTTTGTTGTTAGTTTTAAAGACTTGTCACCGCCCACCCGGGCAGCTTAGTCCAGTTGCAATCATTCAACCTTCAGACGACTACCTGGATGATTGAGAATCTTCACTGACATTTTGCAATGCATTTTGGGGAAGAAACCCTGAGGTTGCTGTGGCAGAAGTTGGTACATTCCAGTGACTCTGCCTAACTGCCTTGCTCTGACTGCTGCAGCTGCCTGGATGGGCAGTGAAACGTCTTTCAAACTAACAACAAAAAATTAGTCCAGTTGCAATGTTTCAACCTTCAGACAACACTGTACTACAGTGGTCTAAGGCACCCTGTTAAGCTGGTTATTAAGACCAGCTGCCTGCAATTACTGCAGGTTCAAATCTCACCAGGCTCAAGGTTGACTCAGCCTTCCATCCTTTCTAAGGTAGGTAAATTGAGGACCCAGTTGTGGGGGCAATAAGCTGACTTTGTATAAATATACAAAAGAATGAAGGCTATTGCTTAGCGCATTGTAAGCCGCCCTGAGTCTCCGGAGAAGGGCGGCATATAAATCAAATTAAAAAAAAAAACTTCAGACAACTTTCAGACAACTGTACCTGGGTGATTGAGAATCTTCATTGACACACTGATGAAGAATTTAGTCTTTGACATCGGATTTCAGAGGTTGTGGAGATGTCATGGTTGACTTGAGCATTTGCATCTGTTATGGCACCCATTTTTTTCTCTTTACACCCCAAGTTCAAGTGTTTATCCTTAAACCCCAATTAATATATGTAGTGTTTTCCTCTCTCACTCCCCTGCCCCATTTTCTGAAAATAGTCTGTTGTTAAAACACTCTAAGGACATTTCAATATCAAAATGTGCTTTTCTGCCTTTAGGGAATTACACATGGACATAAGGGTCTAACATATTGAATTTCATGCATGTTGCACAGTGCAGAGGTCCTAGTAGTTCCTTTCCCCCACATACATCAAAAGCTATTCAAAGCCTTGAGATACCAGCATGCCAACATAAATGATTTGTAAAGGTCTTGAGGTGTGGCCATTAAGTTTGTTTGCCCATGATTTGATAGCTCATGCTGCTTTGATTGGGTGCCAAGCTTCACAAATGAAAAGTGAAGCAAGGAAGAATATCAGCCTGCATTCTTCAGTGGTAAAATAATTTTAAAGTGTTTATTTTTTATGCTGTGTAACAATGCAAACCTAAAAAGGCTTCAACTACCCATCAATCTGATAGGAAGACAAAATGAGACCGTCTTTGAACCAAGCCCCCAAACTCAACTAAGCCTCTGCGTGCTCAAATAATTTGAGTGGTAGCAAACAAACCATTGAGATGATTATACACACAAAAATAAGATTGGTTTTTGTTTTGTTTTTTGCTGAAAATGGGAAAAATAAAGTGATGAGGTTGAATATGGAAAGAAGAAAATAAGGTGGTAATTTTAACGAGGGATGAATGACGATAAAATTGTAACTCTAAAGATCAGAAGTTGCTTTTTAATATAATTTTTTCTTTAATTTGTGTCTCATTCTACAATCTATTTGCTTCATATTTTTATTTTTCTTTATTTTTACTTTATATATTCCATGTTTATTGCTATGAAAAATGTTCAATAAAAATGAAATATTAAAAAAAAAGAATATTGGGGGGAAAAGAACAGTATAGGAGCAAGGAAAAGAAATATTGGAAGAAGCTAAGGGAGAAATGCCCCTAAGACATGGTCTAAAAAAGGGATGTCCAATCTTGGCAACTTTGAGACATGGACTTCAACTCCCAGAATTGAGATGCTGACTGGGGAATTCTGGGAGTTGAAGTCCACAAGCCTTAAAGTTACCAAGCCTTAGACACCAAAATGACTTAGCAAAACCACTAGCAAAGCCATCCAGCTGCTGTCCCAGCTGCTGTGGCCTAGAGGTGGAGCTCTTGCTTCACAATCAGGAGGTTGTGAGTTCGATCCTAGGTAGAAGCAGATGTAGGGTCTCCTGCTTTGGTAGGGGGTTGGACTAGATGACCTGCAAAGGTCCCTTCCAACTCTGTTAATCTGTTAAATCTGTCGTGAAGTTGGAAGACCTTTTTATCTGCAGGATCCAATCTGAGTCGGTCACCGGGACCAGAGGTTTAATCTTCTGAGCTTTCGTGCTGGAGCCAATCTTCAGGGAATGTCTCTCTATAGAATGTGTACTTTGGGCTATTCCAGTTTATCAGGTACTTAGAAGCCGAGGACTTGGCAGCACAAGAAAACAACAGCCAATTATTTAATAGCCCGCCATCACCATCCCAATCAACAAATAAAAAGCCACACACAATCAGGCACCACATAAATACTACACATAGAATAGCCCAAATCACACATTCTATAGAGACAAATTTCCTGAGTATGGGCTTCAGTATGAGTCCAAAAACTCTGAATACTAAATCTCTCGTCTTGATGACCGACCAGACTGGATCCTGCAACATTATCCTGGGAAACATATATTTACCCTTTTTAATCTATCCTGTTTGAGCCTCTTGGTTGAGTTTGATTGTGTTAATGCATTTTCCCCCACTGGCTGTTCTCTTTTCCAGATCAACCGGTTGCTTCAGACATCAGAATCACCGGCAAGGCTTGCAATTACAATGGGACCATTTACCAACATGGGGAGATGTTTGCCGTAGAAGGAATCTTCAAAAACAAACAACCCAATCAGTGTGAGCAGTGCAGTTGTTCTGTAAGTGAAACCCTGGCTTCTACCAGGCACAATTGGGTTTGGTGGAAGAGAATATTTGTAGCTCAGGGTTGAACTGTGGACTCCTTGGTGCTCTGTGAACTTGGTTATTATTTTGTGATAAATACTTTTGGTTTCAGGGGTCCTTGGTGCACTCTGAGCTTGCTTGTTTTCTTGCAGAAGTTTCATTACCCTAACTAGATAACATCATCATTGCTACTGGTAGTAAGGAGTGCTGTTTGCTGTCAGTTTATACCTGTTGACTTGCCTGTCTGTGTTGGTGGAGGGTGGGGTGGGGGGCGGTCTTAGGGATTCTTTGGTTGGGCTGTTTCCTGATGGCTCTTGGCCAGTTTCTTTTTCTTTTCTTTTTTTTCTACATAAAAAAATGAATTTATTTCACTTGAAGTTTTTTACAGGGTTCATGAAGTTACACTGGCTGTGGTGAAACAGTTTAATCTACACAGCAAATATTCGGAGGCAAACTGAACTAATTTCATCATTCTGTATTAGGTCTACCTGCTACCAGTGTTCAATTCTAGGAAGCTGAGCATGAGGTCTGCAATCTATCACTCAGCTGAAACACCTTGATTGGGATAATATTTACTTGATTATTGGTCTGAAATTAACCTTGGAATTAATCTATGCTGATTACTAATGGAGAGATGCTTAGGTCTTTTGGTTCCTTTTTGGGCTGGCTGGTTGTTTCTTTTGCATTGTCTATAGATGTTGTTTGTGTGTCAGTTAATGGCTGATTTGTCAGAGAGCCAGGCTTCTAGAAATTCCCTGGCATTTTTAGACTTGGCCTGGTCTAGGATTGTCACATTTTCCAAATTGAAACTAAATTAAATGACTAAATGATTAAATCTGTCTATATGATGTGAAATGAAAGAATTCATGTGTGATGGAATGTAGACTGGATTCCCAGGAGGGAGGAGGTCAATTCCAGAGGAGTTAGAGGCAGCTCAAACCAGAGATTATATATGAGAGAAAGATGATAAAGGCAGCCCCTCCCTTACAGCTTCCAGAAAATATGCTTCATAGTCTAGTGGTGATAGATAGATAGATAGATAGATAGATAGATAGATAGATAGATAGATAGACAGATACAGACAGACAGACAGACAGACAGACAGACAGATATAGATAGATAGATAGATAGATAGATAGATAGATAGATAGATAGATAGATGAGAGAGAGAGAGAGAGAGAGAGAGAATGAGAGAGAGAGAGAGGTAGTCTACTCCAGAGTAGAAAGGCTCTGTCTATAGATGTGGATGTCTGTGTGGCAACTGAGGAACAGAAAAATGGCTGCTGCCAGGTTTGGTTCGAAGTTGACAGTGGAACAATAAAGAAATATACTTAAAAGAATCCCAAAGGTGCTTTTTCAAGAGGCAAGTGGATGTTCTTGTTTTGCTTTGAAGACATTTTGCTTCTCATCCAAGAAGCTTGTTTGGTTCTGACTGAATAATAGGGAATGAAAGCATTTATATCCCTTGCAGTCATCTGGTTGTTAGCTCTCTGAAGGTCCATTGTTAGGTCTTTGAGAGTCACTTGGGGGTTAATCTGTGCCATTAGGGTCACCTGAATCAGAGTGTAAATGGGTGCAGAACCTTCAATCAAAATTGAAGAAGCTTCTCGGATGAGAAGCAAAATGTTTTCAAGAAACAAAGAAAGTCCAGTTGCCTTTGAAAAGTATCTTTGGGACATACGATATACGATCTGGATGACTTAGGCATATAGATAGTCCTCGACTTACAACCACAACTGAGCTCAAAATTTCTGTTGTTAAATGAGACAGTTATTAAGTCGGTTTTGTCCCATTTTACAACTTTTCTTGCCACAGTTGTTAAGTGAATCATTGTAGTTGTTAGGTTAGTAACCCAGTTAAATGAATCTGACTTCTCCATTGATTTTGCCTATCCAAAGGTTGCAAAAGGGGATCATATGACCCTGGGACCTGGCAACTGTCATACATATGAAACAGTTGCCAAGTGTCTGAATGTTGACTATGTGACCATGGAGATGCTGCAAAGGTTGCAACTGTGAAAAATGGTCATAAGTCAATGTATTCAGTGCCATTGTAACTCTGAATGGTCACTAAATGAACTGTTGTAAGTTAAGGACTACTTATATTCAACAGAAGAGTATACTTGTAGCTCATGGTTGAACTATGAGGACTTTGGTGTTCTCTGAGTTTGGTGATTTTCTTGCAGACGCTTCATGACCCAATTAGGTAACATCATCAGTGCTTAGGTGAAGTTGGTGGCACTTTGATGATAATCATCGGACATGATGATGTTACTTAATCAAGTAATGTCTGTAAGAACATCACCAAGCTCAGAGAGCACCAAAGACCCCACAGATGGTGTATTCTCACAAAACGTTATCACAGGCAGAAACCTAGGAAGGGGTTCCCTCCTGATGTTTAAAATTTGGTTGATTCAGTTCAAACATTTGTGGACATAACTCCAAGACATGAATCAATTGAATTGCCATTAACAAAGTTCACCCAACAATGTCAACAAACAATTCATACTTTGGCCATCAAGACACAAGAGAAGAATAAGTATCTGTGCATATTTCTAGCTCTGATTTTGAAACAAGGGACTTCTCTTGCGTCATTCTAGAAGAGGATGCCCCTCCAATTCAAAGAAGCCATTCTGCCACCCTGGAACCTTGGATTAACTTCCAAGGAACTTCAAACTTCCCCAAATACAGTTTGAAAGCTATATGAATAGATTACTTGAGTACCTTCACTTTGCTGTTTTTTTGCCCTGTGGCTCGTGAGATTTTAAAAGATTTGTTTTTGTTCATTTCTGCTGATGAAGAAGTCAAGCAGATTCTCTTCTGGGGAATTCAGATCTTTTGCAGAGGTTGTTGATTCTGTTAACCTTCACTGCAGTTTAAAACACTTCCAAGAAAAGAAAGAAAAGAAGAATGGACTTCGGATTGCTTTATTGTAAGCATCGGAAACTCTGTATCTGCAAGTATCACAACCCAGTTTCTTTTCTGTTTTGATTCTTTACTGCAGGAAGGAAAGGTATATTGTGCCTTGAAGACCTGCCCCAATTTAACTTGCACTTCTCCAGTGTCCATGTCTGACTCTTGCTGTCAAGTTTGCAAAGGTAATAGTATCCTCACCAGCACCAACTTCCTTACCACATTATCATGATTAGGAGGCCTGGGGACACAGTGGTTAGAGTGCAGTATTGCGGGCTGACTCTGCCTACAGCCAAAGTCCCATCCTGAGCAGCTCAAGGTTGACTCAGCCTTCCTTCCTTCTGAGGTCGATAAAATGAGGACCCAGATTGTTAGGGGCAAGATGCTGACTCTGTAAACTGCTTATAAACCTGCTATAAAGCGCTATAGGGCAGTATATACAGTAAGCCTAAATGCTATTGCTATCACCATGATTGAGAAGGGCTCCTCTCTGTCTTGTGCCTTATATTTTGGATTCAGGCTCAGAGAGAGAACATAGTAGTAAAACTCTTGAAGGTTCAACCAAAAGGTTATACACTCAGAGGGCAAATTGTTATACATTGGTAGGAATTTTCCTGGTGAGCAACTTACTCACACTTTCCAATTTGTTTGCAGGTCAGAGATACTCTTGAACTGTCTTTCATGTGCAAAAAGCAACTGAGGATGGATTTAAATATAGATTTAAAATAATATAATAAAATATAATATGAATATATTAATCTATATTAATATGTTGATATTAATAAAATAATATTAATAAATATTAATTAAGGAAGGGTAATATATATTTAATGCCTTTGGGTCAGTTTTCACTGTTGGTACCTTCCTGAACAAGTCCCTGCACTTTTCTTGGCAATATATTTTCAGGAGTGGTTTGCTATTGTCTTCTTCCTAGGGCTGAAAGGGAGTGGCTGGCCCAAGGTCACTGACATGGCTTCATGCCCACAGCAGGACTAGAACTCTTGCTTTCCTGGGTTCTAGCCTGCTTCCTTTAACCATAACATCAAACTAGTTCTCAGGGAAGGTTAGTCTAGGGTCTTTTTCCTATGAACACTAATACAGAGAAAGAGTAGCTAGGGAGAAAGCCAGTCAAAAAATGGACGCTATATAAATCTTGAACCACAACTGCATTTCCCAATAAAATGGGGCTATGAATGGCAGCTTGAGTTCCTGGTCAAAACCAAAATAAATTACTTCTCCATCCTCTGTGATGGAAAAATAATAACAATGTAAGCCTTGTATCACACATTTGAGAAGGTTGAGAGATAAACTTGCATATTGTGAATTAGAAGTTTGTTGAATTTTCAATATTATTGAAAGGCAAATTTGATTAGACTTCTTAAATCATTTTGGGTGAACCCATAGCAAAATGGGAATAAACAGATTTACCTCTTGTCAGATAGACTTCATTGGGCTAGCCAGCCTTGTTTTTATTCCTCCCCACCCCTCCTTTGGCAAGTGCTCGATCACAAAGGGTTCCCAGAATTTTTTGACACTTGTCTCTTGTGCAGATGAAGACTCACTGAGGGTCCTAGACGGTGACTTCATTCATCAGCCAGCCATTCGTGGAGCTGTAAGTCAACTTGTTTCAACAGCATCTCCATTGAAAGGAAGACACATCCCAGGCAAAATTATTCTAATTGAGATATGGCTGTATTTGTTTCAACATGAGAACCTAGCAGGATTCTGTTGCAGAAAAAAATCTTATCAGGATATCTTTAGCAACCGAGTGATCAACATGATGAATTAAATATTATTTTTGCATGTTTCTCACTTCACTAGAATTACTCCCACTGCTCTTCATTTTATTTTGTAAATTTTCTGTCTTTCTTCATTCCACTAACCCATTTAGCACTTAGCTTCTCCTAACTTAGCCTATGAGACTATAATGCAAACAAGCTAGAATGTAATCCAAGAAAAAAAAATTCAGAAAAACCTGCTTTTGCTTGTTTCTGTTGTCTGTGCTAGGAAAGTGAGCTGTCGGGTTTTCAGTCTGGCATAACTGATCGTTAAGAATTTTGGTTTTAATGCAAATAACTAAATGTAAACCTTTTAACTGCATAATTATTAAGGCTTGGGGGTATCAACCCTTTTAATAGTATTCCACAGTAATGTCACCTCAGGTTGTAAGACAAGATTTTTCCTATCTTTGTAATTTGCTTCCTCAGTCTGCTTTTAAAAAATCTGTTTTTTGGATAGAGATGAGTCGATGATGTAACTTTGCCAGTAGATTCTGTGGATTATGTCAGAAAAAAACCCAAAAGAAGAAACCTGCATTCAGTCCAGTTGTTTCAAAATATGAAAGGTTCTTAGAGAGGTTGGAGGATGTTCTAAATCTCTGCAGCTTCTTGCCTCTCAAAATCTGAACAATTCTAGGGAATGTCACACTGTATGGAGCTCCTGGGCAGGACTAAGAGAAATTATATGCCCAGTTTCATAATCCCAGTTATAAAATCCCTTTCTAAATGCTCCAACACTGGAAGTTTTTAAGAAGAGATTGGACTACAATTTGTCTGAAATGGTATAGGCTTCCTGCCTGAGCAGGGGGTTGGACTAGAAGTCCCTTCCAACTCTGCCTTGTTCTGCCTTGTTTTCATACGTTACCTCTTCTTTCTCTCTTCTCCAGAGACATTCTCCTCCCTCTCAGCCTGAGTCCTCAACCAGCAGTCCTAGGCTAGCTACCATCATCCCACAGTTCCGTATGGGAAGAGCTAACCTCAAATCTCTGCCAATTATTTCACAAAGTTCCGGTACCTTCGTACAGATCGTCCTTAACAACCGACAGAAAGTTGGACAAGGTACAGAGATATCCCCGCTTCTTCTGATTGTTTGGCGGTCTGCCAAAAGGTCCCCAAAGAATTGAAGAAGTCTAGCCAGGCCAGTTCTTCTTCCAACTTTTTACCCTCCAGATATTTTGGATGACAATCCATTGAGGCCTTGAGCAAGGATCATGCTGCAGAGGCTGATAAAATGCCAAAAGTTACGTATTAGATGCAGAGTTTCAGAAATAAAGGACTACAAGGACTTTAAAGCATATGAATATAACAAGTGTCTGCAGCTCTTTAAAGATGGTACAAGATGGTATATTTATGCTCCTGTGCATTCCCAGGGTTTGACCCAAAATGCTTTTTCAAGAGGCAACTGGACTTTGTTCAGTCAGAACTGAAGAAGCTTCTTGGATGAGAAGCTAAATGTCTTCAAGGAAAACCAAAATCCAATTGCCTTTTGAAAAAGCATTTTTGGGACAAACATGTCTATGTGTCACTTGGGAGAAGGTCCCTTTGGTTCATTCAATTCATCAACATATGTTATGAAGCCCAATCTGAAGCACATTAGTGAATACCCAAAGAGAAGGTCCCTATAAGCCCATGTTCCAATATCCACATGTGATGGGTCCATGAACTTTATCTAGACCAGGGGTGCCAAATTCGAGGCCTGAGAACTGGATCCGGCCCACGAGGTGCTTAGATCTGAACCACAGGGCTGCCCTGGAAACAGCAAAGGACCGACCCGGAGTGCCTCTGCCAGTGAAAATGGAGGTCGGGGGGGGGCGCGTGCAGCCCTCCCGGGCTCCATTTTTGGCTGTGAAGGCCTTCTGCAGCCCTCTGCCAGCGAAAATAGAGCTTGTTTTTGCTGGCAGGAGCTGCAGGAGGCTGTCCTGGCTGAAAATGGGGCCCGGGGGGACCGCGCACGGCCCTTCTGACTTTATCTTTCACTGGTAGAGGGCTCACAAAACCAACTAAAAACAAAACAAAAGGAGAAATGTTTCCCGTTTTGCATTTGAGCATGCAAGAAGGGATAGGAAAGGAGAAAGGGAAAGTGGAAAGACAAAGAAAAAGAAGGGAAGATGGGAAGAGAGCAAAGAAGGAAAAATAAGGAAAGGGGAAGGAAGAAGAAAGGAGAATGAAAATGGAAGGAAAAAAGAAGAGAAGGAAGGAAGGAAGGAGGGAGGGAGTTTATAATGAGAGTGTGGAGGGTCTGGGGGAAGTCCTGCCTTAGCACTTGGCCACCACAGGTGTCCCCGACACGAGTGATGTTGAGCTGGCCAAACCCACCATGGCCATGCCCACTCTGGCCCTCTGAGGTCAAACACACGCAGCCCTCAATGGAATGAGTTTGATACCACTGATCTAGACAGCTGAAATTGAGGGAAAAACCTGGGAGAATCTGAAGTTACAAAAGCCGCTTGGCCCAAAGTCAATAATCTACAGACCTTACAGGCCATCAAAATCTTTAAAACCTTTGGTTCAGGGCCAACTAATCCAGGGGTGAAATGCTCCCGGTTCGGACCGGATTGCCTGATCCGGTAGCAATGGCGGCAGGTGGTGCGGAGAAACGGTAGCAAAAATCCCTGCACACACACCCCCATGCCCAGCTGAGCCGCACGATCATCAGAGGCTTTTTTTTTTTTTTACTTTTAAAAGCATTTTTTCTACAACCTCTTCCAACGAAAAAATACTTTTAAAAGTAAAAAAAAAAAGCGTCTGATGACCGCGCGGCTCAGCTGGGATCATCAAAGGCTTTTCAAAGCATTTTTTTTTGCAACCTCTTGGCCGAAGAGGTGGTAAAAGAAATGCTTTGAAAAGTCTCTGACAATCCCAGCTGAGTTGCCTGATCGGCAGAGAGGCTTTTCAAAGCATTAGAAAAAATACTTTGAAAAGTTAAAAAAAAAAAAGTTGGCCACGCCCACCCAGTCACATTACCCACACACACCAAGCCACGCCCACAGATCCGGTAGTAACAAATTTTACATTTCACACCTGAACTAATCTACAAGGTTTTGATTAACTGAAGGAATGTTGGTGATAGAGACTTGAATATCCACCTGAACAATAATGAGATGATGTTTGTCTCAAGTTGAATGCTTCATGTCTCAGAGCAAGAAATCTCCATCCACTGCAAACTCTTCTCAGTTCACACACAAAGCAGTTTGTTTTGGTACATAAAAAAAATACCCTGAAAATGAAGAGCACATTTCTCATATGTGCTATTCAGCTGCAGTTTTCAGGGGCTAAGGTAATTTTTTTTTCTCCCCTGAGGTGAATATTTCTATCTCAGGGTTGAAATGAGGGGACCTTGGTGCTCTCTGAGCTTGGTTGTTTTCTTGTGAACGTTTTATTACCTAACTAGGTAACATCATCAGTGCTGGACCTCCACTCCCTTCTAGCACTGATGATATTACCTAGTTGGGTAATGAAATGTCTACAAGAAAACAACCATGCTCAGAGAGCACCAAGGGCCCCTCATTTTTCTCCCCTTTTCCCAAATGGGAACAAAATTATTGTGATACTTTTCTTTAATTATCTGATCTCTTTCAGTTTTCCCATTGGATATTCTTTGTACCAGTGAACAACCAACCTCTAAATTTTGACACCATTTTTCTCAGGTTCAAAATTATTCTGGATTCAGGTGTAACAGTTTTTAGATTTCTTCCCATACAACAGAACCCCTGGATTGTTCTGGATTTAGGCCTGTTCCATGATACGTGATACGTCACAAACTAAGGAAAACAATCTTAACAGTGAGAACAGTTAACCAGTGTAACAGCCTGCCTCCAGAAATTGTGAGTGCTCTCCATCACGGGAGGCTTTTAAGAAGTGATTGGACAGCCCCTTGTCTGAAGTGGTAGAGGGTCTCCTGCTTGAACAGGGGGTTGTACTAGAAGACCTCTAAAGTCCCTTCCAACTCTGCCATTCTGTCACTAGTGAGAGAAATGGCCATAGAGTGAAAGATTGTGGCCACTAAATCTCTATTTCTGAAATCTAAATTTTGCATCCATTCTTTATTCTAGTGTGCATTTCAAATGGAGAAACCTACTCACAGGGAGAAACCTGGCATCCATTTCTCCGGTTCTATGGTACTGTAGAATGTGTCTTATGTACTTGCAATGGCACTAAACCAGAATGTAAAACAATCCAGTGTCCCTATCAGTATCCCTGTGAACAACCGAAGAAAATTGAAGGGAAATGCTGCAAAGTTTGTCCAGGTAGGTTGACGAAGTTGTATTGGATTATGGAGGGTACATGGTGCATAGGACAGAAACAGTTTTGGAGTGTAAGCAAATGGCTGGAGATACCCCTACACAAGACTTTCTCTCTCTTGCTGAGACTTTCTTCTCTCTCTGCTCCCAAGTAGCAGACTGTAGGAGTCAGTTCTTATTAGAGGTCTAAAGCAGGGATGTCCAACCTTGGCAACTTTAAGACTTGTGGACTTCAACTCCCAGAATTCCCCAGCCAGCCATGAAGTCCACAGGTCTTAAAGTTGCCAAGGTTGGATGGTCTTGGTCTATAGTGATTTCTTGCAAAAAAGGCATTGAAATTAGGCCAACATGCTGTCCACTTATTTGAAAGCTGATTCTCAAGAAAGTAATATCTGCATGGAGATGTTTTAGAGTTGCTTGTTTCTAACTATTAATGCAAGTTTGCAAATTAAAACAAGGAAACTAACATAAAATATGAAAAGGATCAACAGAAGCAAATTAGCTGGAACTGACTCAATATTTGTAAGGCTAAGGCAGTCAAGAACCTTCTGCCCTCCACATTCAGAAGCTAATGAGATTGGGAATTGACTGCAATTTCAGTATTTATGGAACAGCTGAGGATATATTTTTTTTAATTTGATTTATATGCCGCCCTTCTCCGGAGACTCAGGGCGGCTTACAATGCGTTAAGCAATGGCTTGGAGAGCAATGCGTTTTTGCTCTCCAAGCCAGGAAAATGGCTCAGATGCAGGACAGGGCTCATGGACCATCATGCGGTGCTTCCTCCAAGAGTATTTAATGGAATTGTACTTAATGGAATCAGAATCTGGAAATATGTAGGAATATTATAATGACTTGTAATTGTCAGCCTTCCAAGATAAACCTAACTTGGAAACAAAGACATGCAAGCTAATACTACTTTTATTACAAGGTTACAGTAAGAGAATCTTGCAAGAAATTTCCTAACAGTGACAACAACTAACCTGTAGAATGTCTGCCTTCAAAAGCTGTGGTGCTCCCTCACAGGAGGCTTTTAAGAAGAGACTGGATAGCCACTTGTCTGGAATGGTATAGGGTCTTGTGCTTGAGCAGGAGGTTGGACTAGAAGACCTCCAAGGTCCCTTCCAACTCTGTTATTCTGTTAAATCTATTTGCACTTCCTTCTCCTTCGTCTTATTTTCATGAGAGTTGGGGATGTTCATCTCTGAGATACTTTCTCAAATTACATTCCTGTCCCGGACTCAGATTTCTTTTATCTGTCTTTTGTCTTGGTTGTGTCTCTTTCTCCTGTTCCTCAAGATTATTCTTTCTGCATCTGCCCATTATAGTAATTCAGATAATAAAGGAACGGTAAACTGGTGTAAGGTCCCTGAGAATACATTCCATTGAATATAATGGGATTTCCTTTGAATAAAATGCAACAATAGAGGTGAGATCCCTAAAATATAAACTATTGTTTGTTTCTCTTACAGAAGAAATAGAAAGTCAGCTCCCTGACGATCAAGACTATTTCTGTGGTGAGGAGACATTTCCAGTTTACGAAGGCATTCGTAACACTTTCGAAGGAACTGTCCGAAAAATAGCCTTTGAAAAAAATGAAACTTCAGAAGTGGAGATCTACACATGGACTATTAAGAGAGGTGCTGAATTTTTTTTTCCAAGATCAAGCCTATAAGGAAGAGGGGAAATCAAGTTTTGGGGGACCACTGAGGCAGATCCCCCATGATGTGTCTTCAGGGTTGTAAAAGTGCTCCCAATACAGAAAGTTTTGATAGCTGTCTCAAGTAAACTTTTTTAAAAAAAGTTTTCCACTAAAAAAAGGCACTCTCCAAAATGAATTGAGTTCAGTTTTTGCATTCAATCAGAAGCACTCAGACACTTCCAAATTGAAAGGATTAGCTAGTGACATCACCATTGCCCTGGAGACAGCCAGTTGGGTGCCTCCTTTCATGTCCCCGGCAGGAGCTGGAGTGAAGGATGGGAGCTCAACCCAGCACTGTGGCATAAACCAGGTCTCAAATATGGGCTTGCTAATCTCCTGCCCAGCATCCCAATCAATTGAGCCACCGTGCTCCTATTGTGTACAGTTGAAAGCAGTTCCTAACTGCTTGTATTCTTCCAATGGCTTTGCAATAGGTATCCTGAACAACTGTCATAACACCATGCCCGTGGAGGAATTCAGAGAACTGTCATATTTCCTGCAGATCACAAGGACGACTCTGAGTAAGTAAAATCTTGCTTTGACATCTCTCAAGTCAAAATCAAACTTTTTATGAGTACACACACCTGGAGAAGCTATTCACACACTCTCCACCTAGTTGCATGAGATAAACTAATCTATGCTGTTATACCATATGCCATACTTTGTTATCTTACCGTGGCTAGGCCTTTGGGGACTTAGGGTTATGCAAATAGACCCCTGTTGGGCCAAGTTAAGGTTCAGTTGATTGTGCAAATTCAGGAAATGGGTGAATTCTGGTCAAACATGCTGTGTGGATAAAGTCAAAGAGTGGAATCACCCATTGAACAAAGGCACAGCTTTTTTTAATCATGTTTTACAAAAAAAAGTCACAGTGGATAAACAGATAATAATTCACATGGAAAACCAATCACTTAGTGTAAGCTGTATACAAAGTCCTAGAATCACACACCACCTGATCTAACCTTCCTTCTGTCAAAATTAATCAATCAGAATAGAGCTGGAAGGGACCTTGGAGGTCTTCTAGTCCAATCCCCTGCTCAAGTAGGAGACCCTATACCATTTCTGAAAAGTGAGTGCCCTGTCTCTTCTTAAAAACCTCCAGTAACGAAGCACCCACAACTTCTGATGGCAAGCTTTTCCTCTGGTTAATTGTTCTCTCAGTTAAGAATTTTCTCCTTAATTGCAGGTTGCTTCTCTCCTTGATTAGTTTCCATCTGTTGTTTCTTGTCCTGCCCTCTGGTGCTTTGGAAAATAAGTTGACCTCCTGTGGCAACCTCTCAAATACTGAAATGCTGCTATCATGTCACGCCTAGTCCCTCTTTTCTCTAGACCGGCCATACCCAATTCCTGCAACCATTCTTCATATGTTTTAGTCTCCAGGCCTTTAATCATCTTGGTTGCTCTTCTGTGCACATTTTCTAGAGTCTCAACATTTTTTTATAATGTGGTGACCAAAACTGGATGGCACTACTCTAGGTGTGGTCTTATTAAATTGTAGAGACTTTCCTGAGACCTAACCTAAGGTCCCACAAAATGCACATGATGTGATTTATTCAATTTTTTAACTGTCCATTCTAGTGGAACCTCATTGTTGGAGGGTCTCAACTTTGGTTTATGGCTTACTATGTTTTGCAAACTCAGCGACTTTGAGTTTATTCAATTAACTGTAGTTTAGCTTTATGCTGGAATGAAACTTTCTTTTCAATATATTTTTTTTTAATTTGATTTATATGCCGCCCTTCTCCGGAGACTCAGGGCGGCTTACAATGTGCTCAGCAATAGCCTTCATCCTTTTGTATATTTATACAAAGTCAGCTTATTGCCCCCACAACTGGGTCCTCATTTCACCTACCTTAGAAAGGATGGAAGGCTGAGTCAACCTTGAGCCTTGGCGAGATTCGAACCCTGCAGTAATTGCAGGCAGCTGGTCTTAATAACCAGCTTAATAACAGGGTGCCTTAAACCCCTGTACTACCAAGGCTCTTACCAAGGCTCTAAATGTATGCAGGACTACATCCTTAACCTTTTTGTCAGATTAAATGCACTCTTTTTTCCCAGAGACATTTGGATTTAATAATTATGGAATGTAACATGGTCAAGAACCGGCACTTGAAACGAATCAGCTGACCCTTTTGGTTTCAAGTTACCACTTGGCTGTAGCTAGAAAATTCCAGGACTGCAGCTCTGGAAGAAATTCTCCTCCTCATTTCATTAGTGTGAATCAAGAGGCTGTTTATACAAGCAATTATTCTAGAAAAACAATCGCTTGATTCTTTTTGGCCTCTGATTTGTTCACATGATTGCTGGGGGATTCAGAATCTGAAGTGGACTGAAAGCTAAGTGTTAAAAGAGACTCTTCTTTTCTGCCTGTTTCTTTTTCATTCTCTTTTGAGAACTTTTGAGAAGTCAGACAGATGGACAGAAATTTTATTTTGGTCTTTGATCAATAAAAGTATGTTTGGTAAAACAAGCAAAATGAACCCCCAACATCAATGAACTTTGGCCTGTCTGTCTGCTTCCAGGATACTGTAAATTGGGGGTGGGAAAATGCAGTGTAGGACAGCCCGCTGTCCTTTAGAAGGACAGATCCTGAAGTTGAAGCTCAAATCCTTTGGCCACCAAATGAGAAGAGAGGACTCCTTGGAAAAGACCCTGGTGTTGGAGGAAATGGAAGGCAAAAGGAAAAGGGATGGCAGAGGATGAGATGGTTAGATGAAATCATTGATGCAATGAACATAAATTTGGGCAGAACCAGGGAGATAGTGGAAGACTGGGGGCCTGTGGTGTGCTGTGGCCCATGGGATCACAAAAAGTCAGACATGACTTAGCAAGTGAATAACAACAACATAAAAGTTGAATCAGAGGAAGGATCTGCCATTCTGTTAAGCCTGACCAGGTGGCTCAGTGGCTAAGATGCTGAGCTTGTCGATCAGAAAGGTCGGCGGTTTGGCAGTTCGAATCCCTAGTATAGGTCTCCTGCGTGAGCAGGGGGGTTGGACTAGATGACCTATAAGGTCCCTTCCAATTCTGTTACTGTTCTCCTTTTTGGCTGCAAGGGGTCAGGAGGGCCATTAAGGCATTTCTCCTTACTCAATATTCTTTTTGAACTGAAAAATATTCTTCTATGCTTATAATTCTTCTTTTTGCTGAAGGGGGAGAAATAAGAGCTTACTTTGCATTGGAGATGTCATGATGATGATGCTAGTACTTCTGTAAATATAAGAGGAATTTAATTAGCTTTGAAAATAAATAGACCAGTATTTCAAAACTCCGTTTGGCATTGATGAACCTGGCGCAGGATCTATTCTGTTTGCACTCACCACTTAAATTTTGCAGTTAACAAAACTGATTGCTTCCTATGTGCACGTGAATCTTTATTTAGGTTGGAATCAGGAAATTTTCAGATGCATGACCCAGTACAGGCCAGATGTTTTTGGAACGTAAAGCTGATAGGGGAGGACATGAAAACACGAAACCTCCTCATTAGTTCAGACCCTCAATGTTTCCAATTATCCTGCACACCATGCTTTCATTTGCATTTCTCTCTTGGATTTGCTCACTGATTTTTTTTTTAACAAAAAAAAAACCATTTGTTTGTTTTAGATAAGTGGAAAATATTCAGCGAGGGAGCAGCTCAGCTCAACCAAATGTGTGAAAATCGAGAGTGCAGGACTGAACTGGAAGAACTGCTGAAAGTTTTGTACCTTGAGAAATCTGTACAGGAGGGTTGTTGAGGGAGGTTCTGAAGAAGGAAACGGAGAGAAAATAGATGACTCCGCAGCAGGACTGTGGGCTTGTTTTGTTTGATGGTACCCTGGAAAGAAAAGAAAGAAAGAAAAAGAGAGAGATAGAGACAGAAGAAAGAAGAAAAGTATTCATCTCATGCCCAGCATATGTTGCTGCTTTGTGCATAAATCTGTGCTAGTCCTTTTAATATCTCTACTTCAGAAATGATGGTTCTTTGTTATTGGAAAAACAGGAAGGAAAGACATGGATTCCTGCAAAGGTCATTGTCTAAAGCCAGGGGTGGGGAGTTAGTGAGCTGAGGGTCTTATTTCATATTTTGAAGAGAGACCAAAGGCCTCAGTGGGGAAGGTGCAGATATAAAATGGGTAGAGCCACAGTTGGGTGAGACCAAGTTCCTCCTTTTTCCCTAGACATTTTTCCTACTTTAAAACTACATTAAGCCCCTTACCAGTTTACACAAGAGTTTTTTTCAGAAATAAAATAGCAAGAAACATACAATTACTAGGACTGTCTGAGGTATTTCCAAATAAGAGAAAATAAGGGTTTTTTTTCTAGAAGTAGGTTTAGCTTTGTTAGGTTTAGCATTGTGAAACTCTTCTGAGGTACAACTGCTCAGAAGCGTGATGGGAATCAAATCCAGACCATCTTGTTTTCATTTTGAGGCACACAGCTCTCCCACTTCCATTTTCCCATTATTTTTCCCCATCTTTTTCTTTCCATGAGAAAAACCATTCAGGAAGTGGGGGAAGTGGAACCTTGGCACAATGCCTTGGGATAGATGGCCCAAAGTGTCCTTGGAAAGAACCAAAGAGAACTTGACTTGGACAGTCATGGAATTTCGGGAGATGATCTGGGCTGAATCTTTTGGCTTGGATTTGACAGTGGTAGGCTAAACACGCTGACCTTGGCAGAAGCTTCCAACTCTTTTCTCCAGCTTGAGTTCCAGGACTGAAATGCTGTGAATCCCACAGGCAAAAATCACGACTGAATTCGGGTAGGTGGGTAGGAAGGATGAAAATTGGATCTAGAGGGTCAGATACTTCCTGGCTGCTTATTCTTGATATCAACTATGGTTGCAAGCCCTAGTGGTTGGTTTCACACCCCACATCTCACATGAGAGTTAGGCTATGTTCTGTGCCTTAAAGTGAAGGTTTACTTTACTGTGCCTTCTATTAAGGCTTGCAATCATAGTTGATATCAAGAATAAGCAACCAGCAGCCTGCAGGAAGTATCTGCCCCTCTAGACCCAATTTTCATCCTTCCTACCCACCCACCCGAATACAGGTAGTCCTTGACTTACAACAGTTCATTTAGTGACTGTTCGAAGTTACAATAGCACTAAAAAAAGATTTATGACCATTTTTTGTACTGATGACCTTTACAGCATCCCCATAGTCAGGTGATCAAAATTCGAACACTTGGCAACTGGCTCATATTTATGACCATTGCAGTGTCCCCAGGTGATGTGATCTGCTTTTGAGAATTTCTGACAAGCAAAGTCGATGGGGAAGTCGGGTCCACTTAACAACTGGGTTGCTAACTTTACAACTGCAGTGATTCATTTAACAACTGTGGCAAGAAAGGCCATAAAATGGGGCAAAACTCACTTAACTGCTCTCTCATTTAGGAACAGAAATTTTGGGCTCAATTGTGGACATAAGTCAAGGACTACCTGTACTCCAAAATGAGGAAGACTTCAACATAGGAGGGCCGAGGTGAAAATAATCCACCCATGGCTGCCACATCTCCAGGAATCATTTTATCAAATGATAAAATAAAATTAAAAAGAATACGCTGCTTGTAGTGGAACAAAACTGCTAAGCAATGCTTTTCAGCTGTGGAACCTTAATTGGGAGCTGCCCATCCTGTTTATGTTCCCACAGCAAAACTGAACTATAGCCTCCAGGCATGGAAAGTGTTGTGCGAACACAGCCAGTCTGGTTAGTTCCAGGCTCGCAGCTGAGTTGGCACAACCCCCTTGAAAGCAGAGCTCGAACAGAGTGAAGGCCTTGGCGGTTTAGCATGTTGTGAGAATTCACCCATTCAGAATCAGCTGAAAAGTACCCTGGAGGTCTTCTAGTCCATGCTCAAACAGGAGACCCTATACCATTTCAGACAAGTGATTGTCCAGTCTCTTCTTAAAAACCTCCATTGATGAAGCCCTCACAACTTCTGGAGACAAACTGCTCCACTGGTTACTTGTTCTCACTGTTAGGAAGGTTGCTTCTCTCCTTGATTAGTTTCCATCCATTGTTTCTGGGCTGGCCTTCAGGTGCTTTGGAGAATAAGTTGACTCCCTCTTCTTTGTGGCAGCCCCTCAAATACTGAAATACTGCTATCCTGTCACCCCAGTCCTTCTTTTCTCTAGCCTAGCCAAAGGCAAATCCTGCAACAGTTCTTCATATGTTTTTAGTCTCCAGGCCTTTAATCATCTTAGTTGCTCTTCTTTGCATGTTTTTTCCCCAAAGTCTCAACATCTTTTTTGTAATGTGGTGACCAAAACTGAATGCAGTATTCCAAGTGTGGCCTTACTAAGGCTTTATAAAGCGGTACTAATACTTCATGTGATTTTTGATTCTATGCCTCTGTTTATTCAACCCACGATTGTATTCGCTTTTTTGGCTGCTGCCGAAAAAGCAGGTTGGGTCAACCTGGTTATCGGTTCAGGCCATATGAAAATAGCAAGGGTTTGGAGTTAAATGTGTTGTGTGAACTTAGGGGTTTGGGTTGTGTAAACCAGTGTTTCTCAAGCTCGCCAACTTTAAGTGTGTGGACTTCAAATCCAGCTAGCAAGCAGAGCCATCCTCTTATAATTTAATGAGCAGGTAGGTCTTGGGAGGTGATGCAGTGTCTCTCTTTTTGAAACATATCACTGGGAAAGGGCACAAGTTAAGAGGTGTACAGTACTTTTGTTGTTTTTTATTAATTTTCTGGAAGAAAAATAACTTTTTGTATCTGTGATGAGATACCTGGGATATAGACTATGTATTTATTTGTATAATAAGTTCTCTTTTTTTAAGGACAAGGAAAAATCAGTGTAGTGTGTTTGTTGAGCATTAACCAAGACACATTTTAGCCTGGCTGGTTCTCTCTTCCACTTTTGTGGAGACACATATTTATAACCATTATTTATATACATGTTTTATCCCTTTTATAAATTAATAAACTTGAATTGTTCCAAATGGACTTTTTCTTTCATTGAATAGTTTTTTTCCCCTGTGTCCCTTTTCCTTTGTTTAAGAATGGGGGAAGATCCAAACCTTCTCTGAGAACAGGGGGGTTGGGGGGGAATAATAAAGAGTTTGCAAAGTCTGGGCTGCAATCCTGATAACATGTCATCTGATTGACTTGGGGGTTACCCCAGTAAAAAGCAGGATTTCAAGAAAAGTATTGACAGAGATTACTAGTGATTTAATCCTGATGAGCCATTTCAAATTTCAAGCATGAAAATTATGTGGTTAGAATGTTCTCTACATTCAGCTAGGCACTTCAACTTCTAGGAAGAGAGGATTAAACCTGTTATCTTCTTCCTGATGGGGTGGCACAGAGGCTCAGAAGTTGAAGCATTGGGCTTGTTGGCTGGAAAGCCAGCAGCCCAGGTTCAAGACCCAAGCACCACATGTTGGGGTGAGTTCCCGTCCTCACCTTTTTCCTTAAAGACATTTCACTTCTCATGCAAGAAGCTTCTTCGGTTACTTTTGGAAGCAAGCAGGAATATTTGAAATTGTGTGTGTGGGGCGGGGATGGGTGGGATCTGTGCATGTGTGCCACACTGGAGCTGAGAGATAGGGAGGGGGGAATAGAAATAGCTGGGGTTTTGTAGCCAAAACAAAATACTTTCTCCTGGGAACCAAGGACATTCCTACAGGTGGCCAGACAGAGGAGGAATGGAGTTACCAGACAACCAACCAGCACCTTGATTGGACCATGTGACTGATTGGGAAAGGGGGAAAAACTTTTAATTAAGTGAAAACCATGGGAACATTCAGAGTCAGTTTTCACTAGCCTGTGCCAATATGATATATCTAATAAAACTATTCTTTGAGGAACCTACCTGCCTTGGAGTTCTGTTTGCTATGGGCATATTACTTGGAACCCTGACATTCTCCCTACAATGCCTTCTGGATGGAAATTAATCAGGGTTTTTTGGTTCCTTCCTGCAAAATCTACCTGGGCACAGGTCTGTTACGAGAGCCAAAATTGCTATCTTTTGGGTCCTTGTCTTGGCTTGCTATCAAGCTGTGAATAACAGAATTCGAAGGGACCTTGGAGGTCTTCTACTCCAAGCCCCTGCCCAAGCAGGAAACCCAGGGGTGAAATGCTCCCGGTTCGGACCGGATCGCCCGATCTGGTAGCGATGGTAGCGGGTGGTTCGGAGAACCGGTAGCAAAAATCCCTGCGCCGCCCCCCCCCCACCACCACCACCATGCCCAGCTGAGCCGCACAATCATCAGAGGCATTTTTTTTTTTTACTTTTAAAAGCATTTTTTCTACAACCTCTTCTGATGAAAAAATGCTTTTAAAAGTAAAAAAAAAAAGCTCAGCTGGGATCATCAGAGGCTTTTCAAAGCAGTTTTTTCTGCAACCTCTTGGCCGAAGAGGCGGTTAAAAAATTGCTTTGAAAAGTCTCTGACGATCCCAGTTGAGTTCCTGATCGGCAGAGAGGCTTTTCAAAGCATTAGAAAAAATGTTTTGAAAAGTTTTTTTAAAAAAAAGTTGGCCACGCCCACCCAGTCACATTACCACCACCAAGCCACGCCCACAGAACCGGTAGTAACAAATTTTACATTTCACCCCTGAGGAAACCCTATACCATTTCAAACACACGGCTATTCAATCTCTTCTTAAAAACTTGGATTCATCCAAGTTGGCCAATGCAAATGTTCTAACCAGGAACAGCTCTTTAAATAACTTTACTCCCATTTAGGATGTTGTCTAAGAAACATAATGAACTCAGTCAGGATGTGATTCATGGTGGTTTTCTGGCACTAGCTTCATCTCTCTGCTCATTATGAATAAACCTGCTTCATCTGTAATTGAGCAGGAGTTGTTTATGGTTTCTTGGAGGAGGATAGCTTCATATTGTTCAAGATAAGTGCAAGAAAATGGGGCCGTATCTCTTTTTAAGTGGTGGAGGAGACATAAAGGGTATGTAAACAAAGAAGAACCAGAATAGTTCTGCTTGTATAGATCAAATTGCTCTATACAAAACAGCAGGAAGTATAAAGCTTTGAATTCTACTCTGCTCTCTGTGTTGTTGCACATGTGTGGCAGGGTGGATAGAAAGATAAATAATTATTTGGGTGTGTGGATAATTCGTGGAGAACCCAATTTCATTCCAGAAATATTTATACAAGTAGTCCTAGACTTATGACCATAATTAGCAATAGAATATCTGTTACTAAGCAAAACATTTTTTCAGTGAGTAATTCACTATTTTATTACCTGTTTTGCCGTGGTTGTTAAATGAATCACTGCAGTTAAGTGAATCATGCAGTCGCTAAGCAAATCCAGCTTCCCCCATTGTCTTTGCTTGTCGGAAGCCAGCTGGGAAGGTTGCAAATAGTGATCACGTGACCCTGGGATGTTGCAACTGTTGTAAAATTCATGCCAAGTGCAAGAATTTTGATCACATCACTCTGAGGATACTGTGACAGCCATAAGATGAGCACAGCTCATAAGCCACTTTCTTCAGTAATGTTGCAACTTCAGTCATCAAATGAATGGCTGTAGGTCAAGAACTACTTATATAAAAATAGAGGTGTGCAATTCTAGAGCACCACTAGATGGCACTGAAGAGACACCTAAAATGTTTGTTATATTTCGCCCTCTGGTGGTCATCTGGACTCTTTCACTCCAGATCTGGTGGCCATAATGTTAGATCCGGCGCAGGGAAAAGAAGACTGGACCAGCTCGATACATAAGCAACTTTTATTCATTACAAAGTAACGAGTCAAGACTGCTGGCGCGCTGCCGGAGCTCTCCTTATATTCGCTCCCGGCAGACGCACCGCCCCTTGACAGGGATTCAAATCTCCCGCCCGATGGCTGGCAGCCAATCAGGGCGGATGCCCTTATAAGGACATAACACTCCTCCCCCCTTAGTCCGAAATGTCAATCTCATTCACAAACGTTACGTAGTCGCGCAGGTACGCCGGACGCCTCGGCACCCTAGCTGACCTGCGCAGTCTCACTTCTCCTCCGTCTCCGGCCTGGAAGGACGGGGCTCTTTCGTCTCCTGGTTCCCTCTCCGGAACCGGGCTCGGTTCGGCTGTCGAGTGAGCGGGGCCACCCCCAGCGCCTCCGGCCGGACCGCAGACCTTGGATCGCTGGTCCTGGTGGTCTTCCTCCTGTCCTGTGGATCTCTCCGCCTCGCCTCGGCTGCTCGGTTCCGACCCGGGAAGAGCGTCTGAGTCTCGGTAAGTCCATTGCTTGCTCCTCCCTGGTCTCCCGGGCGCTGTGGTTCGGTCTCGGTCCGGCTTGCTGCCGCTCGGGTGGCGGTTCCGCTCGGTTCGGGTGGTTCTGGCTCTCGTTGTTGTTGTTGTGCCGTCCGACCTCGCAGGGGTGGCGTTGGTCCCCTCGGTTGGGCTGGCGTTGGTCTACCTTGTCTGGCTGGCGGTGGTCGACCTGGTCGGGGTGTTGTTGCGGCGCTGCCTCCGCGGGGCGGCGGAGGTCTCCCCTGCCGGGGTGGTGCAGGTCTCCCTGGCCGGGTTGTTGTCGGCTTCCCCTTCCCCCTAGTCCCTGGTCTACCGTTGGTTGGTGCCTGGGGCCATCCTGGTCGGGGTGTCGTTTCTTGGCTGTCTCTTGTGATGGGCGGGGGTCCCCCACGTCGGTGAGTTGTGTGCCACCCTCGCCCGTGGGTCGTGGGTTGCCCGTCTTGGCTGGGTCCCGGTCTACTCGCCTTGAACTGCAGTCTCCCTCGCTGGGCTGGCATGGGCTGCTGTAACTGGTGGGGTGCGTTGCTCCTCCTCTGGGCAGGTCCCGGTCTACCTGCGGGCTGGGTTGGTGGTCCCTGGCCTTGCTGTGCCGGGTGCCCACCTGGCTGGGTTGGTGTTGCCATCCTCCGTGCGGTTGGCCCTGGTCTACCTCGCTGGGCTGCCGGCGTGACAGCATCTGGTAGTGGGCTGGGCCAACCTTGACGGGGTGGTGCTGCTCTGCCTCGCAGGGGTGTGGTAGGCCTACCTCGTCGGGGTGTCGTAGGCCTACCTCGCCGGGTTGTTGTAGGCCTGCCCGGTCTGGGTGTGGTAGGCCTACCTCGCCGGGGTGTTGGAGGTCTACCTCATCGGGGTGTTGTAGGCCTCCCTCGTCAGGCTGGTTTTCATGCGCTCCCCCCCCACCTTTTTCGGAGTTGGTCGATGTGACGTCTCGCGAACTGTCCATCTTCCAACTCGACGATGTAGGATTTGGGGCCGGTTGTGCTGGCAATCTTCCCCTTCAGCCACTTAGGAGAGCCGCTGAAATTCAGCGCGAAAATTGAATCTCCGTTGCTGAAGGTGCGAAGCGGGCGGCTGGCGGTTGCAGTCACTTCCGGGCTGTATTGGGGGTGCAGCCGGTCCAAGGGTGACCTCAACCTTCTGCCCATCAACAGTTCGGCTGGGCTCTTGTGGGTGGTGGCGTGTGGCGTGATATGCTGGGTGAGGAGGAAATTGTCTATGCGCTCTTGCCAGTCCCCCGGGCCCATCTTGGTGAGGGCCTCTTTGGTCAGTCGGACCATGCGTTCCGCTTGTCCGTTTCCGGCCGGCCTGTAAGGGGCGGACAGGGCGTGGCGGATGCCCAGTCCCGCCAGGAAGGACTCCATGGCCAAGGATGTGAGCTGGGGGCCGTTGTCTGAGACCAGCACATCCGGTAGACCATGAGTGGCGAAGAGACGGCGCAGGGCTCGGATCGTCGCGTCCGTTGTGGTAGATGCCATGGGCACCACCTCGAGCCATTTGGAGAAGGCATCTACCATGATGAGGAGGTGTTGCCCCTGCATCGGACCCGCGAAGTCAATGTGAACCCTCGACCAGGGGTTGCTGGGGGTCTCCCACTTCGCGACCTCGGATTGCGGCGGCGCTGGGCAAACTTCTTGGCACGGGTCACATCTGGAGACCCATTGTTCAATGTCTTTGTCCATGGAGGGCCACCAGACATAACTCCGTGCCAGTGCCTTCATGCGGACGATGCCCGGGTGCCCCTTGTGC